ATGGGTTTCATCCGGTTTAGCGGTGGGGTCGGGTTGGATTGGGCGGGCGTCGGACCCCCCCCTGGCGAGGACGGCCACGTCGACGGCGGCGATGGGGCGGCCGGCGAGGAGGGCGCGGTGGCAGCGCCCCTCGCGGAGGTCCCACACGCGGAGCAGCCCCTCCCCTTCGACCGCGGTGATCGCGAGGAGATCCCCGGTGGTCGGATCCATCCCGGTTTCCTTCCCGTTTTTCCCCCCGATGGAAAACGGCATCGCCGACGACGCGACGGAGCCCGCCCTTGGGGGAAAAAACGACCGAAACGGCGGCGCCAACCACGCGAATCCCACCCGCCCCCCCTGCGCGGCGAAGGCGAGGAGTTTTTCGACCTCAAACCGCCGAGGCCGCCGCGCATCCGGCGCGGCCATCGGCATCGACGAGCTGGAAAGCGGAAGGGAAAGGGAACGAGGGAGGGGTTCGAGATGCAGGCGGTAAAGCGCGAGCGTCGGACCCGCCACGAGGACGCGGATGCGATGCGAAAGCGTCGACCGATCCGCGTGCGACCGCGCCGGGGTCGTTGCCGCGTCTTGGGAGGCCTCCCGATGGGGGGATGGGGTCGACCAGGGGGGGTCCCCCGTGGGGGGCTCCCAAACCGCCGCCATCGCGGTCGCCTCCGGGGCGACGCGGAAGTGCGCGCAGGGGGTGGCCTCCCGGCCTTCCTGCGCGCGGCCGCGGAGCTCCGCGAGGTCGAACACGTACCCCCCGCCCTTTTGATCCAGACAGACCAAATAAGGCCCGGCAAACGCGAGCGCGACGATCGGCTGACGAAGCAGCGAGGAGACCACGACGTGCGCGAGCGGCTCGTCGGCGACGACGTCGTGCACGACGACCCCGCCATCGCTCAACCCCATCGCCGCCCAACACCCCCCGCGGACCTTCGCCAATTCCACCGTTTCCCGCCCGGCATCGGCGGGAGTCGAGGGGGGATTCGAAGTGGGCGAACGCAACGCCGCATAGGGGGGGGCGGGTCGCGTCTGGGGGTCCCCACGAGCGGGGGAAACCCCGTCGAGGGAATCCGCCTCGACGGTGATCGCGACCGAGCAGAGGGTGGTGGAGACGAGGGAGAGGGCGTGCGTCCGTCGCGGCAGCTCCACGAGCGCGGCGAGGGTCGACGTGGCGGTGTCGAACACCCGCGCGGAGGGGAAGTCGGTGGCTAGGATCACATAACGCCCCGCCGCGGCCGAGCGAACGGGCAGGACGCACTCCGTCATCGGAAAAAATTTCGAAGGATTCGAGAGGGAGAGCGCTCGTCGGCGGGATCGTCCGGGGGTTTCGCACTTCTACGGTTGATGGATGCTTTTTTTTTCTAGGATGCTTAATAGATATATATATATATATATATAGAGAGAGAGAGAGAGAGAGAGATTTATAGATCCGATAGAAAGAGAGAAAGAAAGGAGAAAAAGAGGCTTACGCGTGGAGGCATCCAATTTTAGGGAAAAGGGAACCCTGCAACTACCACAAGAGAGAACATAAAGGGATATGAAAATGATTTTAGAACGTCTTCAAACGGACAAGAATAAGACGTTAGATGAAACAAAACTTTTCAGTAATTTGATATCTATTGGCTTCAGAGGGGGGGGGGGGAACACGAACCTCGCTACTTTCCTCCTCTCTCCACACACAAACACGCAAAGGAGGGTTGGTAGAGGATCATTTCTATAAATTCATCTCGTTTACCTAGCCAGCACCTTCTTTTTTCTTTTGCATTGGTATATGCTTGTTTGTTTTTGTGGCACTATTATTTAATACTATCTCCCCCCTCCCCCTTCCAGGCTCGCAGGATCTTAGAGAAGAAGCCCAAACTCCCGCAGCAACACCACCGCCGGGTTCGTATAGCTGATATCAAACCAGTAGTTCACCGCCGCGATCAGTGGCAACGGCGGTTCCTCGAGTTTATCGCTCGTTTCATTTGGATTGATTGTAGCGTTTGAATTCGCCTTTTGTTTTCTCAATCGTGCGCGGGCGGCGATATCCTCCGCCCCGGCGCGCTGCCCGACGCGGTGCAGCCAAAGCGCGGGGAGGTAGAGCGTCTCGCCGGGATAAACGCGCGCGACGAGAGGCCTCAACACTCCTTCCTTTTCTTCATTTGGTTCGTCTCCTCCTTCCTTGCCTTTCGTTCCCAAATTTCCCACCTCGGCAGGAGAGGACGATCGCAGGCCGGGGTGGAGGGGATCGGAGGGGGGTTTGTTTCTACGAATGGCCTCCCGCAACGCGGCGGCGACGACGGCCCCACCGTCGTCCCCTTCTACCTCCTCCGCGGTGATCTCGAAGTCGTACCACGGCACCTGCGTGCCATCTTTTTTCGGAAAACGCGCGAGGACGAATTGGAGCTTCGCGGGATCACTCTTTTCCTCATCCAGGACAAACCCCGCGGAGGGCAGCCTCGGTTTGGGAATCCACGGCCCCTCCCAGGGTGGAATGAGCAGAAATTCTTTCACCCCACGCACAACCGCGTAGAGGTTTTCCACCCAATCCTGATGCAACGACGAAACACTCGCCGGGGTGCCGAACCAAACGTTCGCGGCCTCCACGGGCTGCCCGAAAACCCGCCCGCCGAAGTCGAGAAGGGTTTCGCGGACATCCTTTCGAAGATGCGCGTATTCGCGATTTAGACAGTCGTTTTGCAGCTGCGCGTAGGCGATGATGGGGAGGGGAGAGGGCGTGGCGAAATCAAAAAAATCCGACCGAGGCGGTCGCGCCGCGTCGACGCTACGCGCGAGCAGCGCGTGCAACTCCGGCAACGTCACCTTCACCTCCGCGGCGATCATAAAAAGTCGCTCCGTACGAAGCGGATCGTTTGGGTGGTTGGTTTCGCGGTGATTTTCATTTTTAGCTTCGTCGGTTTCCGGGAGGGGAGGGCGGACCGCATGGGGGTCGTAGCGGACCTCGCAGACGGCATCCGCGCGGCCGTTGGGGGTGAGCGCGACGGTGACTTTTTTCGGCCCATGCGGGCGAGGGAGAGCGTGAGAGGAGGGAGCCTCAACCGGAAGATCCTTCAATGCCGGTTTCTCGGTCGTTTTTTTCGTTTCGCTTGATTCGCCCACTTCTTCTTCGCCTTCTTCTCTTTCTTCCTCTTCCTCGTCGTCGTCCTCCGGCTCCGACTCTGACGGGAGGTGGTGGTCGAGGTCGAAGAGGTAGCGATCCTCCTTCCACCGCTGCAGCGCAGGCCAGTCGTGAATCGCGTCTAGAATCACACACGGCCGCGATTGAAAGACGAATTGCTGCATAAACTCCAACTCGGTGAGCACGCGAATGGGATCCGTGAGGTCGGAATTACCAGGAGCCCCTGCCGTGCGAGAGGGTTGTAGATTATTATTATTATTATGATTATCCTTGTTAGACGCTTTTTCGCAGCCTTTGCTAAGCCCCACCACGCGAATGCGCTCGATGCTCCACTGTCGTAGCGCCGTCGCCGTGTTCCTGAAGGCCTCCAACACCGTAGGTGGGGAGTTCTGATGCGAATCGGATATTTCTGTCATTTTCTCTTTTCACTTTATCGTTTTTTTTGTTGTTATTCTTAAGATGCATGTACCACAGGGGACAGGTTTCTACCCGTGTGTGTATCGAATTTACTGTTTGAGAATACTAAATTGCATATACAGAGTATATATATATATAATAATAATAATTCAACAAATGAAAGTAAACAGAAAGAGAGGGGGGATGAGGGCAAGTCGCATTCCTTAGTAGGTCGACCAAGCAGCCGCACAGACAGAACGGTAAAACGGGAAACAGAAAACTGAATAAAGTATTGCTATTCTCCATACGTGTTTTCTTAAATGTAAGCCGTTGAGAGGGGGTGTAGCTAGCCAATCAGGCCAGAATTCTCTAAGCATTACCAATGTTGTGAAAGTTTCCCCCCCCAATGAGTGAAAATGCAGCAGTAGGTACGCGAAAAAAAAAGCGTTTATGCATCTATACAAATGCATCCGTCGGTTTTCCTTTTACGGGAAAAGACTTCACCAACAGATGCAAACATATGCGCATATACAAAAAAAGCATAATCTGTAAAAACCTTAAAATCAAGCAAAAAAAGTATGTAAACACGTCCTACGAAAAGAAGGTACAGCATATAAAGGAAAAAATGGAGTTCCCGATCTAGGTACTAGATTCAAAGGCAAAATAAGCCCATGCGGTTTTTTTTCATAGTATTTGACTTTCTTGCCTTGATACATATGAGTATATATTCTTATCCATGCCGAGCTCTTTAGAGTTGGTGCTCAACTTGTGAGGTCACCAGCCGAGCTCCTGATTAAAATCGCACGTGAACTACTCCAGCGTGCAGGGCAGTGCCGGGGAGCACTGCAAGGTCCCCTCCCTCGTGTATAAACGAATGTTCAGAAAGGCCCCATCGCACGTAACGCAATCCAAGACCACTTTCCGTGAAATAATTGCCGTGTTACTGGGGTTGGGTTGGTTCTTTACAAAGTGCATACTCCCAAGGGAGGGCGATGTTGATTGGGAATGACTTTGCATGGATAACGGCGCGTTTGCGGGTCCGTATTGGTGGGAATGGGCGGTTGCGCGTGAGAGATCATGCTCCCAGACAAAGATGCACGGCTCAATATGCGTGAAAGAGGAATCATAGGGAGGACTTCCGGATGGTACCGCGTTTGTTGGGGGCGTCGAAATGCCCTTTCTGCTCTTTTCGCTACCCATTTTACCCGATTCGTTGCACGGGGATCCCTGGGATGTCATTCTAATATAGAGGGCGTCAGAAACCCAGTCGAGAGGTTCGCTCCGTTCGGGATTTCTCATCGGGTGCGTTTTCGCGCCATACCCTCCCGTCGCGTGCGTGAGCTGCGATACCCACTTCTCCAGTCTTGAGGAGGACGCGAGATACGCGTAGGAGCTGCCCTTCCGCTCCTCTCGATCGGCACCAGAGGTGGCGTCGCCCACGCGTTTCCCACCCTCCACCAGGCGTTGGGGGCCGCCTCGCGCGGGATGTCGTTTGGTGTCGCCACCGGCGAGAATATCTTGTTTATACATCCAAAGCCATTGAGGGTAAAACACCGGATCCCGAAGCGGCAGCGGCTCGCGGCAGGAAAACCATTCCTGTCGGGTGTAGTCGTGGAAAAAGCGAAGCCCGCCGGGCACGACGCGTTTGACGGCGTTGGTGAAAATCGAGCGGTGATTCACCGCCGCCTGCGGGGGATCCGCGCCCGGGACCTTTTCCGACGGGTCCTCTTTGGTGGTCGAAAACACCAGCATCGAGCCGTTCCACACGCAGAAAAGAAATCGTCCTTGATGGAGAAATTGCAGGTGGTGAATCTGGCGGGCATCCCCGCGTGGGGCGGCGTCGTGTGCGCGATCGTCGCCCCCTCTTTCGGCTTCCTTTCCCCCCCCACGCGGGTTGAAGGTGGGGGTGGTGGAAAACATCCTTGCCCCTCCCTCGTGCGGTCGCGTCTGTCGCCCCCCTCCTCCCCACCTCGCAAACGGCGGCATCGCCATACGAAACCCCACGCGAAAAACGCGAATCGCCGTGAAGCTGAAGGCCCCGTCCCCTCCTTCCGTGAGATTCGACCACGGGGAGGGGGACAACCCGTTGCCGGGGATCGGGGTGAGCGCCCAAAGCGTGATGCGGGTCGCGCAAATGCTGGACGCCGCCACCCACACCCCTTCCCCGGCGGCGGCTAACGACAAGGCTAAGGCGGAGGGGGGGAGGGAGGCGATCCCGCCCGCGGCGGAGCCGTGAGGGGCGCGCCCGACGAAGAGGGCGAGTTGATCGAGCGGATTTCGATGCGCGGCGGGCGGCGACGCGGCGACGCGTTTCACGCGAATCGCCGTCGGCATCGCGCCGCGAACCCCCCCCCCCCCTCCGGGGAGATCGCTCGAGACGTCGAGAACGATCCCGCCCCGCCGCGTTTCGGGGGCCTCAAGTTGAGGGGAAGTGGCGAAATGGAGGAGAAAAAACCCTTTCCCCCCTTCTTGCCCGCCGGTTACGAGGAGATTTCGCGCGTAGTCGATCGCGCACGGGATGCGGCCGGGCGCGATTTCATCGATTTCCTTCGAACCCCTCGTTGGGCGCGCCTCTTCCGCGTCCTCGTCGGCGGTGTCGTTGGGGTTTGGCGGCCCATTCCCCCCGCCGACGGCCGGGGAAACGCGAAATAACGGAATCACGCACTGACAAGCCGTCCATTGCGGTTCCATCGGATTCGAATAAAACCGCACCTCGCGCGTGGTGAGGCTGATCAACACGCGGGCATCCAACAACAGCCGCCGCACCGGGTGGGGTTCCCACACGGCGTTGAAAATCACCCCGCCGGCGAGGAGGAAAATCACGCGGGGATCCCCGAGCGGCGCGGCCCCCCCCCCCTACCACCGCCACCCGCGGCTGTTCGTAAAGCAACGCCATCAACGCGACCCCGCCGCCGGCGAACCCCACCGCGCGTCGAGAGGGGCCAAACGCGAGGCGGCCCCCTTTTTGTTCGCCCCCCCCTCCTTCGCCTTCCCCTTCTCCTTTCCTTTCCCTTTCCCCTTCCCCTTCCTCCTCCTCGTCGTCGTCGTCATTCCAGAGAAGCGAAACCGGGGGCTCCGCAGGCGGGGGGTCGCCGGCGAGGTCGGCCTCGCGATGCGGCAAACACGACGGCGCGAGGAACGACCCCGCGGCGACGCTGACGGCCCCTTCGCTCGTCGTCTTCGCGACGTCGGAGAGGCCGAAGGAGGTGCCTTTGGTGGGGCTCCCCCCCCCCTCTTCCCCCCCGGCCGTGGAAGGGGGGAAATGCACGAGGGAGAGGAAAAGATTCAACGGCGAGGGGCCCTCCCGCGCGGGAGGGCTCGTCGTCTCCGCCGGGATCCGCGCGGCGTTCGCCGAGGGCGGGGATCGGGAAACCCCGGAGGGGGACCCCGAGGCGCGCGAGGGGTCGGGTTCGGGTCGGGGTTTCCCGGCGGCCCCGACGCCCCCGACGTGCGTCCGCGCGCGACGTCGAATCGCCGCGAAGGTCTGCAAGTCCGTGTTGTAGGTGGGATCGACGACGAGGTGGCTGAGCGTCCGAGCGGGCGGCTTCGCCGACGGCGGCGTCGGTTGCCGTCGCCGTTCGTTCGGATCCCTCCTTTCCGTTCCTTTTTCATCCCCCACATCCTCATGGCTCTCCGCGATGTCTTGTTTCACTTTAAAGACGAGAAAGCCGCTCTCATGCCCGACCCCGACGCGGGTGTAGGTTTGGTTGACGCATATGCAAAGTGGCTTCAGCGCCTTCAGCACCGGTGACGATCCTACGGAGTTCGACGAAAGACCTTTGATCGAATCATCAAGCTCGTGATCGATTCCTTCGTTTCCATGGTTCGTTATGAAAGGGTTCGAGGGTTGGGCGCAGGGAAGCCTTGAGGCCCGCCATGGCGACGTGGGCGAGTCGTGCTTTTCAAATAACTCTTCCCAATCACTACTAACGTTTCGTGAAGGTTTCATTTTTTTTCTTTAGTCAAGTGACAGACAATATGTATGGATTACTTTTTTTTGGTGTCTCTTTAGTCGGTGATTTTAACTATTTTCGACCCAAATCTGAATCGAAAAGAAAAAAAAGTCAATATAACCTTGGTTCGCGAAGAAATAGATGCACACCCCTCGATTGCGAAAAAAACACCGTCAAAATCATGTGAGTGCGGAGCAATAAACTTTTAACGGTTATAAAATACAGGCGCCTCAAACACACACGCACTAAAACACATACACAAAAACTAAAAGTAGTTATCTTATAAGAGAGAAACAAAAGGGAGGACGATAAATGGATATAAAATTAGAAGCGCAAAAGGAATTTCCGTTCCCGTGTGGATCCTTGCATACAAAAATAACATATCCGCGTGTTACATTTAGAAAGCTTGTTTCGACTTAAAGCCACATCGTAGTTTTTGTCATCGTCCAAGCGAAGCAATTTCTCTTTTGGCTTTCGATAGAGGTTTTTTCTCAACCAACCAAAGTTGACCCCTTTCCTTTCCGTTCTCTTGCAACCTCTTTCCATCCTATTTATCACACCCTTTTATCGGCTAAAATTCTGGTGGTTTGCTGGTGGTGGCGGAGGCGTTGGCGGCCTGCTGCACGTACGCGATGAGATCGCCGTCATCGCGCTTCACGGCATCCCACGGCGAGCCCTTTTTCATCATCTTCTTTCCCAACCACCACACCGCGTAGCAGCGCCGCCGACGGACCTCCGCGCTCTGCGTGGCGTCCTGCAAAACCATCTGAACCGCATAACGCAGCACGACGTGGGCGTCCGCGACGACGTTATCGTACTCCATGTTGAAATACTCCACCAAAATCCGCCGCGCGAGGGCCTCCTCGCCGAGGGGGTTCTTTTTTTCCAAAATCGCCTCCACGATGCGGCTGACGCCGGAGAAGATCTTCCGGTTGAGCAGCTTTTTCGGCGCGTAAAACGGGCGGAGTCGGAGGAAGCGCTGCGCCCCGACGACGTACGCCTCGCCCACCTCGTAGAGGAGCTCGCGGCCGAAACAGGCCTCGGCGAGGCGCGCCACAAAACGCTCGCAGCGTTCGTCGAAATCGCGCGAAAAGTCGTTCGCCGCGTTGCTCCCCGGGTGAAGCTCCAGGCGCGCGTCGTGGGTTGAGGTGGTTTCATTCGCATTCGAGGAAGAAGAAGAAGGAGAAGAAGAGGGGAAGGGGGAGGGGCTCTTGGAGCGATTTCCCTTACTCGCCCCCCCCCCTCGGGGTCGTTCAAAGGGGGGGTTCGTCCCCTTTCCGGTTCCTTTCCCATCGCCTTTCGCGTGGACGTCGGCGATCGCCGCGAGCTCGAGCGCGATTTGGCGAACCCGAATGCACAGGAGCTCCTCAAATTGATGCAGGGAGACGCTCACCTGCGCCTCTGTGCGCAGCGCCCAGTGCGAGCGCAGCAGCTCCCCGAGCAGCGTCCGACGAAACGCCTCGCCGCCAAAAATGCTCTGCACCATCGCCTCCGGCGTGCGCGCGAGAAATCGGCCGTGACGACTTTCCTGCATCTCAATCGCGCGCGCCCCGCCGATGTCGTACGCGCGACGCTTTTCCAGGTTCGATAAAACGCCGTAGGCGTTCGAAATGGCTTCAAACCGCGACTGCGCTTCCTGCCGCTCGCGCTCGGAGGCGGAGCCGTTGCTTTGCGGGATGACATCCGGGTGGAAGAGCATCGCGAGTTTTTTATACTGCGCCTTGATTTGCTGCTGCGTGGCGGTGCGCTTTACCCCGAGGACCTCGTAAAGGTTGGATTCGCTTTCCCTTCCACGCGCTGTGGGGGATGCCTTGCCGTTCGCATTTCGCCCATGCTTCGACATAAATTTTTGACCAAACTTATCCAAGGAGAAGCCCATCGCGGCGAGCCGCCTCGCCCATTTTTCCTCGCCGCGCATGCGCTTTCTCTTGAATTCCAGACGGCCGATCGCGCGAATCAGCCGCTTCTCGCGCTGCAATAAATGCCGGTGGAGCTGGGAATCCACCATGTTACACCGCATCCATCGCCCGCTGAGGGCGTCGAAGAAGTAGTTCCCAGTAAAGAAGTTCATCGGTCCGTAGAGGCTATTAAAAAGCCCACAAGGGAGGTGAATAAACGGGGAAACCCCCCAGCCGTAGGCCATAAACTTCAACCCCGCCCATCCTCCCTTTAACGGACCCCTCAAAAGACCACGGATCCACCCAGTTTCTTTGATTTCTCGCATGGTATAGAAAATAAGGCAACCGAGGCCGTTTTGAACCCCAATCCACAAATTCCACAATACGATATACACGGCATGCCCGAGATGCCGCTTCGGGGTGAGGTTCATCCGACTGTAGAAGTTCAGTGCGTGGTAGGATCGCACGCGGCGGATGTAATCGAGATCCTGCGTGAGCGTTGCGATTTCTTTCGTAGAGGCGTCTTCCCCATCGCGGTGGGGAGGTTGTTGGGTCGAAAGCAACCCCAGCAGACGACGCGCGAGAAACGCAACGAACCGCACCACGACAGAAGGGGATCCACACCACCCCGAGTACGGCTGGAGATCCTTCGCCGTGAGCGTCATCTCCTCGTCATGATTTTTCAACCCCTGCAGGGAGCTGTTTCTCGATTTTGAGGTGATGGAATCGTTTTGCAAAGAGGCGCGTTGGTTGGAAAAAACGCGAACCAACACCCGCCGCGGGTTCGCCGGGCGGCAAAAGAACGTTCCCCCTTCCGTATCCACCAGCAGCTGCTGCCGTTCGAGGAGCTCCCAGCGAAGACGCCGCAGCTCCATGTCGAGCGCATCCGCCTTCCCTGCGAGACGGTGAGCGAAGGGGAGGTAGCGATCCTCCTCCTCCGCGCGCTCCTGCATCGCGCTGAATTCCTCCTCCTCGAGGATTTTATCCTGCTCCTCCTCTTCCGCGGTGGTGTGGGGGGAATTGCCTAATTTAAACGATGCCTGGGAACGCCGCGCGGTGGGGTGGGGTGATGAAAATGACGGGAAAGACCATGAGGATACACAGCGCAGCGTAAGCGGATGGGGGTTTAGTATGAAGGCATTCCACCCTTTTCGATAGGCCGGAGACGTCGTCTTGCGTATCGGAGAAGCATACCGACGGACCAAATCGTGCAACGGTGCGGACTCACGAAGAAAACCTGCATTCATTATGGTTATTAGAATCGTTTATTACGTAAATGTGTCGAAATCCTGAATTTTAGCTTCTTATTAAATGTATCCACGCTAATACCATTTTTTAAAACTATTATTGGGATGAAGATGCAGCCAATAAGCGACTGAAAGGTAGAAATAATTCATCCCTCGCCCAAAAAATACGCTCATTGCCAATCCGATCAGACATTAGACTTTTCCAAATAACAGGGTTGTAGTTTGGTCAATCATAGTTCTTTGATTATTATCACCAGTTCTCAGTACTATTGACGGGTAGACCAAGTGGAAGAATTGGACCTGGGAGTCAACTGAAGAAAAAGGAAATACCATGTAACAAGAAAATTTAAGTCTAAAAAACCCACATACGGAGTGATAAAGATAAAATGTGGGGGTATTTTATTAATACAACAACAAAAAAAATGAGCTATAAGCAGCAACTGGTAAGCAAAGAACACATATAAGAAGAAAGGATGTCTTTCCCCCCTCCCCTCAGAACAAGGAAGGTCTAGGACAAAATCCGAATTGTAATGAAAAACCGAAAAGTCATGAGTTGTTTGTGTGTCGAATCCACACGCAGATTTCGACCAAAAAACCGAAATAGTTTCACCCCTTTACCAATGGTAAAGGGTATAAGCAGTTTAAGAAACTATGATGCATCCAAAATGGAAAAAAAAGATATGTATATATGCTTAGATAGAGCGTATATATATATGTATATATATTAAAATGGCATCGAGAACCATTTATTCGTCTGAAAGCAAATACACCATGCATAGGAGATAAAACTGAAGTAGAAAAATAAACGTAACAATCACAACAGACAAAAACCAAAAGACATATTGTAACTGAGGAGAAGGAAAAGTAAGAACTTAGACTTTCCCGTGTGCGGATTACACAGGGAAACAAATACATCACTATATCTATATTTGTACACATTCCCATTAGATAGAGATACCTTCTAAAGGAAAAATGAAACCAAGCGAGGTGATAAAAGAAATAAAAAATGATGCTCTCCCATTACCAAATGAGGATGAACTTCTTATTCTTTCTCTATGACCTTTTATTGCTTTTTGCTGCGCTTTTTTATTTTGTGAGCCAAGCTTTACATGTCATGAGATAAAGAGACATGACGAGCAGACACATATATTTATAAACAACAATAATACAGCTAATGCAGAGAGGGGGGATGTAAGTTAATTGCGCAAAAATTCTTTATTCAACTTTTTATATTGCGATACGAATGATAGTATAAACCGAGTTACGGTTTTGAGAACCCCATTTAAGGATACTGGGAATACGTATTATCAACTACGAAATGTGCAATATGGCTTTCTAAAAGCAACACCATAAACCAAAACAAAATATGAAGAAAATAACCCCTAACTTTTTTTTGCAATCAATATATTTCAGCAGTTATGCATTGCACCAATATGGCATGCGTACCTCAAGGGAGAAGGATAGAGGTGAGGAAAATGAGGATTGAAATTACAGTCCTCATGAATGAACTATTCCATACTGTAATAACAAGCAACACTGGAAATTTGTGTTAGTAAATAAAAATATCAGCTATGCAGTAGCGAATCTGTAAAGGATACGGAAATTTTTATGAATGTTTCGCAGTAAATTTCGTTCTTTATAAAGAGAATTCACCCACTCTTTATGCTTTTCAAGCGAATATATTTTCGATTTTTTTCATATAAATACACGATTGGCTTTTCATATCTCTGCAACTTTGTATCAAACACTTCAAATAACCATAACAAAAGAAAACCATCAATAACGAAGAAAAAAGATCTATTTATTAGAAAACAAGACATAATTTGTAGAATATACAATTTTTTTCCAGATAACTCCACGCTCAATTTCAAGTAAGGGTAAAATAAAGGCAGCATATAATGCTGAAGTCAAATCAACTTATTTCTGAGACAAAACTCACGTATTTATTCACCAGGGGTGGAGAGGGGGAGGTAAAAAAGAAGAAAAACAAAACCAATGAAAAGACACTCATCCATTCAAATGTCAACGAATGAAATCATAAAATAATGCAATCACTATCATTGCAATATTCAGTATTAAAATGCGAAACACACATGATGATACGAAGCACAAAATACATTTAATCATACAGCATCAAACATTAGAATGGTGACCTAAACAAACAAAAAGTAATGATATTGTATTTTTGTTAAACTTAGACTCCTGAAAGGTAAACACTCCACAGTGCGTTTTACTCACTTATTTCACTTATACATATTTTTCGTTGCTAATCCTGTTTTTGTACGCCATAAGCCGATTATTGGAGTTTCAGTGCGTGCGCTCGGCTTGGAGCGCTTGAAGCTCTCTCGCCCATATTCGAGAGAGGAGAAGCTCGAGCGGTTGCTCTAGGAGTGGTCTCCTCGTCTGTGACTTCGTGAAACCAACGACCCCTTCCCCTTTGTTAGACCCATAAGGCGTCGAAATGCGGGAAGAATCCCCAGAGCTAGGTGCCCAATAGTGATCCTCATACGTGGCCGATACGTAGCCGACATTGAGCTGGCGCGCCGCGTGGCTCACATTTCGCATAAACCGCTGAAGGCACTTCCGCATGCAAAATAGCGGGAGAATCGAAGTCGCGGTGGAATTTGCGGTTGCCCCCCATCCACTTGTTGCCACGGCGCCCTCGTTAATGGGCTGCTGCTCCGCTGAGGTCGCCCGCAGCGACCCGCCGACGCCCGAATCCGCCGACTCCGCACCGTCGCAGTCGAGGGCGGAGCAGACGTCGAGCACCACCATTGGCGGCACCCGCCCACCACAGGCCGCGATCCGTTGATAAAGCAGCAGCAGCTGCCCGCCGGAGAAGGCAGGGGCCTCCATTGCCGCCCGCTGGCCGTAGACGGGTGGATTCGTGTGAAGAGGCGCACCCCCTGCCGCGCCGGAGATCGCGTGGGCGGCGATGCTCTTCGCCGCGCTCGACTGCAGCTGGGTGCTCGTCACCATCGAG